TCTTGCCGCTAGTACGGCGGCACGCCATACTCGTCCTTCAAGAAGTCACAGCTCTTGTTGACGAGCGCAATGTCGCGCTTGGTCGCCAAGCTGAAACGTCCTCCCTTTTCGGTGTGCCCATCCACGAGGTGTAAAAGGACCTCAAGATTATGCGCACAACCAATATCTTTAGTTGGCTTTAGAAATGGCGAGTAAGTGTGGTCCAACGCAAGTTCCACACCAACATGAGCATAACTCCATGGAAATGAAAACGTGTCTTCCATGTACTTCTAGTATTGGAACTTCTCATTAGCAATATATATGTATATGTGTGTGTGCACGCGCGCGCAAGAGAAAGAGAGACATAAACATTTTTTTTTTTCCTGGCAACAGAAGCCCTACGGCATCTACAAGAAACATAACCACGAAATACAATCAAAGCCAAAAGGCACTGACAACACAGAACAAGTGATACAAAAAGATACGGAGAGACCCTGCACAACCCTGACCACACAAAGCAAAAAAAGGCTTGACAATATCCATGTGATGTCCAGCACCAACACGCGTAAGAAGGATTGAGAGCATACGTAGATACCCTGCACAACCCTGACACAATACACAGACCTTATGGGACCTTGAAGCCAAAATCAGATGCCAGGAAAACCGAGGAGGACCAAGGGTTTCAAAATCACCAAACCAAGGGAGTTGACCAATCGCAGGCAAACCACCAGCAGGGAAAGCATCGTTAGAAACAAAACACCACCAAGAACAAAAAAACATAATAAAACCGAAGTGCCGAAGGATAACCAGCCTCACAGAGATGACCGGCAACAACATGCCACGATCTATAGTCAATGGCAGCCGGAGGAGATGCAGCTTTGAACAGAGCAAGAGAAATGAGCAGCCAACCTGCTTCAAGAACACATTTAATGCGTAACAACCCGAAACAACAGAGAAACTCCGGCACACAGGACTAAGAAAACAATGCACTTTTCCCAAATAGCGAAGACGATAACAGGGAAGCCCTTGCATCAACCAACCGTAACCCAGAAAGCAAGGCCACAAAAAGCATGACCACAGACAAAAACCCGACGTGGACAAGCAAATGGCCAGAAAACAGTAAAACGACCATAGAAGCTAAGCAAACCAACCAAATACCGGGATCAAAAGGGAAACACAGTGGAGATTGGCCAAAAACCCATCCACCGTTCAAAACCCTCGAGCGAACAACCCATAAGAGCCAAAGTTCCATCGGGTCCGACCATACACGCAAACCGTTGCCGGGATTGAGTAGGAAATCTATCCCATAGAAACAACCAATAGAAGAAACTCAAACTCTGAAAATAGAGAACCTCTATTAAGAGAGGAAACTCATATCACCGAAGAATGGAGAAGAACAGGAACAGTGGCACGAAGAGAGAGAAAAGAGATTTACACACAGAGACATAAACATATGGCTCGATGCAATTTTGTGTATTATGAGGCCAAAACTCAAATAATCAATTAGTAAGGAAAAAATGGACTGTGTATCAAGCTGACCTCTTTATGTAAACAAAGTGGCATTGAAAAGAATAATCTGAATCATAGACATACAATGAATTTAAATGTAAGATCAATTAATATACATTTAGTTTTAACTTGGGGAGCTCCCAATCTCAAATTTCTAATAAATGTCCTTCAAGTTTTTTTTTTTTTTTTGTTGGTGAATGGGAGTTGACGGAGACAACATTAATTATAGTTGGTTGGAGCTTAGGTCTAAAGTACTGAACTTGTTAAGTTAAAACAAAGCTATGTTTGGTAACACCAAATCGATATATTAAAATTAAAATAAGAAGAAATTTGATTTGGTGAACATATGTGTATTTATTTTTTTAAAATTTTGATTGGAACATTAGTGGGTTGGGATAACATCACTTACCTCCTTCGAGACTAGGCCTACAGTCAGTATCTCTAATGTTTTAAAAATTATAGAATCTCCCCCCAGTGAGAACAGAGTTAGATTTCGGTGGGATTCTTGTTAAATGACTAAAATACCACTCCACTCAATGCGTCTTTGAATAGACCCAGACAATCACCCAACCAACACCTACCATGATTGTTCGATTTGGAAATTAGGTTTTTGGGCAGTGCAGAGAGGTTGGTGAATTCATTGATGGAGAATTGTAAAAAGAGATTGAAGATATGGTGGGGACACTTGTGCTCGTAGGCGAGAAGATCGTTCTCATATGGCAGTGGCAGAGAGAGAGATAGGTGTATTAGTAATTTTGAATTCGAAAGTAAGGGTGTCAATGCCATTGTAATTATAATAAGGGCAAATATAGTATTTCATGCTAAAAAATGGCTGACATTATCAAAAAAATCGTTATTGACCGGCATTGACCATCATCAGAAGAGGCAAAGTGATATAACAGAATTAACTTTGAGAAAGATTTCTATAATTTTTGAAACGTTAGGGATATTGTCTTAATTAAAACTAACATCGAAAGAGATAAATGATAATTTTCCTAGTGGGTTTCTTCACTAATGTTAAGCCACGTAGACCATGTGACAGGCACCATAAAACACATCATTAGAGCATCTCCAATCCATTGTTATATGTGCTACCATTTCTAAAATATAGCAGGAGATGATAAAAATGGGTTCTCCAATACAATGCTATATGGGCTGCCAAATTTTAACTTTACCAAAATTTATGCCATTTGTAGCACAAGAAATAGCTACTGTTATTTTAGAAAAAGCTGAGAGAGAAAGAGAGGGGGGGCGATGGAAACTGAAAGATATGGGTTTTGATATTTTGAACAATCTGAAATGATATGCCGATATGGGTTCAGAAAAATATATATATATATATATATATATATATATATATATATATATAAAAGATCATACAAAATTTCACCAAATAGGATTTAGTTTGCAAAACAAGAATTACAGACCCTGATTAGTTAGTTTAGAAAAAAAATTAAAACAAAACCCATACGTACAAGTTAGCAATTGCAGAGAGAAGGGGAAAGCTTGAGAGTTGAGAGACAGTGGCTGAAGCTTGCGAACGGCGAACCCGAACTGGAACAGCGGGCGATGGAAACTGAAAGATATAGGTTTTGAACTTCTTATTCTTGTTGATTTTGTAGTTTGCAGTTGCCCGGGGGGAGGGGGGAATATATATATTTTTAATAATAATATAATCAAATATATATAATATACAGATATATATATATATATATAATATAAATTTTCGAAAAAGAAAAAAAATTATATAAAAAAAATTTATATAATAATATAATCAAATATATAAATTTATACATATATATATTGGTCCTTTTTTGACCAGATATTTTAGATTTTTGATTCTTTTTAATTAAGTTTAATTTTAGTTTCCTTCTAATGTTTACAACTTGACTTGAAATATACCTAATATTAACATTACTGATGCATATATGAATGGTGGGAATGATAGCTGAAAAAAAATAGTGGTTGTGTTAAAAAATAGTATTTTATATAAAATGCATCATTGGAATATAATTACTAAAATATAATATTTTGATACTGTAACACTGTCAAAATATAAATTTGGCATTCGAATATACTATTTTAGCATTGGAGGTGCTTTTACAATAAAAAACACTTGTGAGGTGGTCTCTCCTCTCACACTAACCAAAAAAGCTGTCCAAATTAGGTCACATTATAGTCTCAAATTTTGCTCGGGTACAAATTCCAGTTTTGTTGGTGGTGTTTTTTTATTCAAACATGTTATTATTAATTGCTAAAGCCAATAAATCGAATTGACCAATAACAACCTAGCAAGTTTCTTAACTTTTATTAATTTTAGTTTCAAAGTGCAATCCAGCCTATGATTTTTTTATTGCATATATATGACCCTAGGTACCTTATTTAAATTGTGGTTCAAATTGTTTCAAGCCACATCGGTAGCTAATAATTTTGTCCAAAATGATGGTAACAAGCACATATAATTCATATATGTACAATGTGTAGGTATCATCAAAAATGAAAAATTGATGTACGTGTATGTCACATTCATTTGATGACTATAATAATTCTTCTAAGTGAACAGGAAAAACCAATTATGATGACAAACTGAAATAGGTATATGAACATTTTGCTAATGTATAATAAGTGTCACACAAAATATAAAAATTTATGTGATTTGAATTTCATTTAAAATTTTAATGCGAAAAATATATAAGAAGGTACAAATTTCAGCACCAAATTTTCTCACTTTCTAAATTACGATTGTCTTCTTATCACACTCCAAATCTTAAACGTCATTATATATTTAAAAGAAGTCAAAACCCGAGTTCACAATCAACTAGAGAAACATTATTTAGACCACTAGAAGAGTTTTATAAGGTTAAACTAATCGTTTTCAGAATCCTATGAAATAAAATGCATTTCCAGAAATAAAATGCTTTGGAATTAACTTTTGTGTCAATTTGGGCTGTGTACATATGTCGGATGCTTTGTTGGTTAATTTCTTCAACACTAATGTCTTTAATGATCGTGATCAACCACAATTGTGATGTTAATTATGGCGATGTTGAATATGATAATGTGATTCACTAAAGAAAAATAAATTTAAGATAAAGAGAATATTTGGTTGATCATCATCATCCTCCAATTGATCTAATCATATCTTAGTACATTATATATAGACACACACATTTCACATACATATACAACTTTGTGAAAGAGTGAAATATCAAGCTTAATCAATGCTCAACCCTCTTGAAATAGATATGACCCTTAGCTTAAATTGACAGAATAATAATTTTTGAGTAGTGCTAATTAGATCGAAAAGTTGCAATAAATGGTTTAGCCTTATTTCTTTCCTAGAAGACCAACTAATTGCAAACCAAATTATCAAAGTTTTGACTTATTAATTGTACAATTGTCATAAGATTAAGAAAAAGGCAACAATTATTGGTCCTTTAATTGGAGGTTGATAAGTTACAATTAGTCATGGGTTGGACATGGACCATTATTAACGTATGTGGAACAAAGAATTTCAAGTGTTTCAAATTAAATTATAATATATTTTAAGAAACCTGATACTGTTGGACCAAAAAAAAATTGTACATAATTGATTAAGCTTCCTATTTACATTATTATATCAAACTATGTAGAACCAAAACACTGACTCATTTTTAGCAAAAGACAAAAAACAAAAAGAAAGTAGATAAGCATACGCAGGTTGTTAGAAGTAACCATCAAACTTAAATTGCTTCTAATGTAGACTTGGCCAATTTAAGCACCTGTTCAACATGGTGGGCCGTGTCCGGCGGATGTGCCTCCACCCTCGGCCTCTCCGGCAAAACCCACCGGCCATCGCTGCTCCTAACCATCCCCTTGTTCTCGTCTTGCCGCCAGTACGGCGGCACGCCATACTCGTCCTTCAAGAAGTCACAGCTCTTGTTGACGAGCGCAATGTCGCGCTTGGTCGCCAAGCTAAAACGTCCTCCCTTTTCGGTGTGCCCGTCCACGAGGTGTAAAAGGGCCTCAAGATTATGCGCACAACCAATATCTTTAGTTGGCTTTAGAAATGGCGAGTGAGTGTGGTCCATCGCAAGTTCCACACCAACATGAGCATAACTCCATGGAAATGAAAACGTGTCTTCCATGTACTTTTGGTATTGGAACTTCTCATTAGCAATAATTCCAGGCACTGCGGGCACCTTATCGTGCACATTAATCACCCTTAACACCTTGATTCCCAGCTCGTCGCAGCGTTCCTTAAACCTAAGATTTCCGACCCTGGGACCCGAAAATGAATACACGGTGATTGGGATTTTATTAGTACCCACGGACTCACCGTTATGTATGGTGTTCAATTTCATCTCAGCAATGTCATAAGCACTTAGTAGAGCCAAAGCTGCCCCGAGACTGTGACCTGTGACTGTGATGCTTAGCTCTTCACCTTTGTAATTCTCTATAATTCGCTTGATCTCCGCTAGAACTTGTTCGCGAGCCGAAAATGAGCAATACTTGCATGCATCTTCTTTCTTGGTGTACAAGTCATAGAACCCTGATTCGATTTTGATGGACGGATCGTCGCGGAAGTGAGCCGGGCATAGTATGTCTTTGAGATCATGGATCCACTCCAGGTAGGTCACCGTGCCCCGCCACGCCACGATGATGTCGCGGCGGCCCAGCCGGCGGATCTCGTCCTCGTCGGTGGCGACGGCCACGTAGCCCATCCAGTTTGCATGCTGGCTCCAGACGCTGCTCATGCTGGACTTCTGAAAGAAGTTGGGGAGGTTGATGTTTGATGTGGCGTACAGGTACCGGCTCATGCTGTAGCCTCGGTCCGCCATGTCCAGCTTCTCGAAGAAATGGGCTCCGGGGTACTTGCATGTGCCGCAGTACTTGGAGCGAGGATCAAAGTCGAATGAATCGTAGGCGGCTTGCGCGAATTCGCCGTACCGGATGATTTCCCGGCGAAGGTGAGGGTTCATGGGGTCTAATAGGCCTTCCCACTCATTGCAGCCTTGAATTTCCTTCCAAACATCATGAAGAGGCCTCACGTCTTGGGTATGTTCTAGGGTTTGTTCCAAATTTGGAGCTAAACTAATTGGGAGAGATAAGCATTTCGTGATTGTTAATGGTTTTGTACAGAAGGGCTTGTTTGGGAAAAGGAGATTTTTGGTTTTGTTGAGGTTCCATCTGGGGAATTTTTTTTGAGAAGTTGATATTGGGGTGACTTTGGTATTGTTCAGTAGGGAAGCCATGAAGAGCTAGGTTTGTGGGTTTTGTTTAATTTCTTGTAATTTTGAAGGATTTTTGCTTGGCTAGAGAGATAGAGGAAGTTGGGATCTAGAGAGAGAGAGGGGGGGGGCAGATGATATGCAATTATTGAGAAAGGAAAGGTTACACTGAGGCCCTGTTGGAGAGAGAGAGGATTGATGACAACTGTTGTATCTGCCACTGTTGGTGTAGCCAGAAAATGAGTGAAGCTGTTTGTATTAATATTTGATTGGTTTGTTGATTCTGCAAAAAACATGGTAGGTGACGTAGAGAGAGAAATAAATGGTAGAGGAACGATAGAAAATGACTATTCTATGAAGAATTGAATTGGAGGTGTTTATGACTTTAGCAGGGTTGTTGAATTGGGAATTACTCGCACTACGTAAAAACACTGACCTCGTTTTGCTTAATTAATTCAACTATGTACACGGATGTTATTAGGATGGCAATTTCTACCTCTCTGGGAAAAATTATTAAATGGTCATAGGTCATTAATACTCGATAGATTAATTAACTAAATATAAATTTTTGAATTAAGAAAATGACTTTACAAAAATATATTAATAAATTTCAAAATTTTATGATTGATTATTTTTATTGAATTAGTCCATCAATTGTCAAATAAACTAGAACCATTTAATAATTTCTCCTCCCCTCGTGATAACAATTGTCATTCACCCCACATCAGATTTTGATGAAAAAGTGATTGGACATAAATGAGTGAGTATACAGTACTATCCAATAATTTAAACCTTAGTTCGGTATCACGTCAAGTGTCCGGCCCGATTATAATAAGAGTGTTGCAAGTTTGGGTGGGGGGAGAATATAAATGTGATAAGAATTATTTGTCTCACATCAGATTTGGATGGAAAAATGATTGAGTATAAATGGATGGGTATATAGCACTACCCAATAATTTGAATTTTTTAGTAAATGAGTAAGCGTCTATCCGTCCGTTACATTCACACAGTGAATTACAAGACGAGTACAGTTTGCTCTTTATATTTTATTTTTAAAATAAATATATGTTAATAAATGTATGTACATTATTGTGTGTGTGTGTGTATATATATCATTATTTACTATATATAATTATTTGCATTGTATAAAATTTATCAATTTATTTATATAGATAAAAAAATAAAAAATAAAAAAAAGTAGTAAACAATACTGGATGGGCACGATATACTCATCTCTTAACAGGGTATGGATTTGACCATAATTAAATGAGACAACGAATTTAGTTAATCCCACTCCATACCTGCTTCATTCCCATCTCTGTATGTTATAAGACCTCAGAGTTCCATAGGTTGATGTCATGTTTAATATTGATTAAGAATCGAATTATATCTTTAGAAATTCTTTAAAATTTATTTTGTCCATGTGTTATAATACTAAATACCTAATATACCTCTTTGCATAAAATAATTAAGTGGGCAAAAATGCCCTTTGGTAAGAACGTAGTAAAATTCCCTCCCACCCACAACAAAGGGAAATAGTAATAATAATAATGAAATGGTATATATTATTTTTTTTATGAATATAAAAGAAGTTGTTCAAGTTTGAGTATTAAATTTGGAGTGACCCACAAGATATATTTAATTCCCCTTTCTCTAAAAATTCGTCTTTTTTTTTTCTTTGTTTTTTATTTTTTTCACAATTGCAAACTTTGCATCATTAATTTGAAAACCTAATGTAGAAGAACATACCTCTATAAAGTCTCTCTACTTTATAGATACATTTATAGTCTGGTTTGCAGCCAAACAGAGACTTTATAGATGCATTAATACCGCCCTACGACGGATGTCCCATAAATGTAGTACGACTATATTATAGGTGAGTATCAAACAATTTAAGTTTTTAAGTTATAAAACAAACGTCCCACTTGTTACAATTGTCATTGGACAGCGGCCTTGCGGTATAACCCTTCCTCCCTCAAGGGAAGAGGTTGGTAGTTCAGTCCTGTTTTTGGGTAGGGTTGGCTACGGGCAGAGTTGTGACGGATTTGACAAAACCCTATTCCATTTTATTAGAAAATTTGTCATATTAATTATATCCCTACTCTAAAATGGGCTTGTAATTGATATATTATCCTCGTCTCTATTTCGGCAGACAAAATACTAATTCCGTACAACGTATTTAGTTTAATTGCAGGTGTTATGCCAATTTTTTATTTTATTTTTTTTCTTTTGTGAGAAAAAAAAAATTAACCTAATGTGTTCAAATTAGACTGATAAATAAATTAGCCTAGTTTTTAATTTATTAAATAGTGAATATTAATATATAAGTGACTTCGAGTTTTTAATTGTTTTTTCATACCTGCCCTAAATTCATTTAGGGGCACCAAATCCATTCAGTTAGGGCAGGACAGTGAGGGACATTCAGTTAGCTTAGCTTTACAAAAAAAAAATTTTAAAAATCCAAAAATAATATAATTTAAGCATCACATCTTTCTTTTATCTTATCCACTAGAAAAAGTAATTATACATATATAGATCATATATATATATATATATATATATATATATATATATATAATAATAATAATTTGGTAAATGCAGTCTTACCATAAAAGAAAGATGTGATGCTTAGAACATGTATATATATATATAATAAGTGGGTAAATGCAGTCTTATCGTAAAACATTTTGGGAGGAGGACAATGCTTGGTCTTCATCATTCAACTTTTTTTTTTTTTTTTTTCATTCAACTTTCCGTAAACTATATTTTGTGTTTAAAATTCTTTAAATTATTTTATTTTGTTGCAACATGTTTCAAAAATTATACTATTTTTTATTAAATGATCATAATATTCCTTCTTATTGAACTACATTTAAGATATTTTATTTATCTAAATAAATTTTAAAAATTCATACTAATTTGATGAGATATTTTTAATTAAAATTTTTTTTCAAAAGTATTTTATTAAGTTTTCATCAAAATATTGTATGAAAAAAAATGATATTTTTTTACTATAAAAATATTTAAATTGGTTATAATACGTTTTATTATAAATAATAAAATTTTAAGAATAAGTTGATTAATTTAGAAAATGATAGTTACAAATCTATTTATCTATTTTTTTTTCATTTTTATGATAAATTGATACTAAAAATAAAATTAAGGTAAATAATATAATTAATATTTACATAAGAGAAAAGATAATAAAAATAATTTAATAAGAAATGAAATAAGAAAGGGTAAAATAGTCTTTTATGGTAAATTTGTCCTTAATTACAACAAATTAATAGTTTAACGAGTTATTTCCAAAAGAATAATAGTTTAACGGTATTTTTTTGCACTTGACCCTCCAACTTTTTTATTTTTTAAACATTTTTCCTAATTACTTTGAACCCACATCAGCCGATGAATCCTCTCAAAGGGATGACTCAAGCATTCTCCTTCTAAAAATATATTTACAAATTTTTCTTTTCTTCCTTCATAAATTATGGAGACCTTTCCTAATTTTATTGTTATTATTAATTGTCAAAAAAATAAAGTCATTTGACAAAGGTCATTTTTGGTAATTCACATGATTGTTAATTATTACCCTGCCTGATTTGCACTTTTAAACTGGTTCAAAGAGAAGGCTCAAATCCCCTGCTGTGAGTTACCCTACAGTCCCCTGCTGTGAGCTGATGAAAGGCCTTAGTTTGGCCACGTGTGCTTCAGTTTGTAATATGTCTGTGGGCTCTACTAAAATGGTGCAAAATGCATTATTCCGTTAAATCTGTTTTCCGTTAAACATCAATTTCTGAAAAAGCCCAAAAGAGCCGGCTCTACAAATTAATTGAGCCGTCTCCAAAAAATTGGGTTGAGCCGTCTCCACATTTCTTCTTGAGCCGGCTGTCCATTATTTTTTTTTTCTTTCATTTTTATTTTTTTTTTTGCTTGGCAAGGAGCCGGCTCTAAAAATTCTGAGAGTCGGCTCCATATTTATTATGAGCCGGCTGCCAACTCAAAGAGCCGGCTCAACAACTTAGAGCCGGCTCCATTGAACTTCAAGAGCCAGCTCCATTAAATCCCAAGATCTGTTAAATTTAGGTGTGTAATTAGTTTGGAAAAGGTGTGAAATTAGTTTGTTAGAACTGTGTGAATAGCTTATTTTGATGGTGAAGGTGATCAGTGTCCCTACTTATTAAACTTCACAATGTATTTTTTCTCATAAATATGACATAATAACATGTGAAATGTGTAAATGCCGCATACATGAGAAGACCAAATATTTGAATGACACATTAGTATCTAATGAAGCCAACTCAGTTAAAAAAAAAAACAATTATGGAAGATTTTACATTCACTAGAATGGTTATTGAAGATTATAGAAAAAAATCCTACAATTAACTAAGATTTCAAATACGCTAGAATACTTAACTAATGTCAATTTCAAGTAAAAAAAATCATAATTTACACTAACGGATGACAAATGAAAGAATTAAAAAATGTTAAATTTAGGTGTGAAATTAGTTTTGCAGAGGTGTGAAATTAGTTTTACAGAACTGTGTGAATAGCTTATTTTGATGGTGAAGGTGATCAATATCCCTACTTATTAAACTTCACAATGTAATTTTTCTCATAAATGTGACATAATAACCTGTGAAATGTGTAATTGCCGCATACATGAGAAGACAAAATATTTGGATAACACATTGGTATCTAATGAAGCCAACTCAGTTAAAAAGAAAACAATTATGGAAGATTTTACATTCACTATAATGGTTATTGAAGATTATAGAAGAAAATCCTATAATTATCCAAGATTTCAAATACACTAGAATGCTTAACCAATGCCAATTTCAAGTAAAAAGAATCATAATTTACACTAACGGATGACAAATGAAAGAATTAAAAAATGTTAAATTTAGGTGTGAAATTAGTTTTGCAGAGTTGTGAAATTAGTTTTACAGAACTGTGTGAATAGCTTATTTTGATGGTGAAGGTGATCAGTGTCCCTACTTATTAAACTTCACAATATATTTTTTCTCATAAATGTGACATAATAACCTGTGAAATGTGTAATTGCCGCATACATGAGAAGACAAAATATTTGGATAACACATTGGTATCTAATGAAGCTAACTCAGTTAAAAAAAAAAAACAATTATGGAAGATTTTACATTCACTACAATGGTTATTGAAGATTATAGAAGAAAATCCTACAATTAACCAAGATTTCAAATACGCTAGAATGCTTAATTAATGTCAATTTCAAGAAAAAAAAATTCATAATTTACACTAACAGATGACAAATGAAAGAATTAAAAAATGTTAAATTTAGGTGT